GCTAGGTTTGGTATAATACTTACCCTTCAGTAAAGTGTACACTTTGATGCTAGGTTTGGTTTAATACTAACCCTTCAGTAAAGTGTACACTTTGATGTTAGGTTTGGTATAATACTTACCCTTCAGGAAAGTGTGCACTTTGACGCTAGGTTTGATATAAAACTTACCCTTCAAAGTAAAGTGTACACTTTGACGCTAGGTTTGATATAATACTTACCCTTCAGTAAAGTGTGCACTTTGACGCTAGGTTTTGTATAATACTTACCCTTAAGTAAAGTGTACACTTTGATGCTAGGTTTGGTATAATACTTACCCATCAGTAAAGTGTGCACTCTGACGCTAGGTTTAATATAATCCTTACCCTTCAGTAAATTGTACACTTTGATGCTAGGGTAGGTATAAAACTTACCCTTCAGTAAAGGATACACTGATGCTAGGTTTGGTACCCCCCCCCCCCTTCAGTAAAGTGTACATTTTGATGCTAGGTTTGGTTTAATACTAACCCTTCAGTAAAGTATACACTTTGATGCTAGGTTAGGTATAAAACCTACCCTTAAGTAAAGTGTACACTTTTATGCTAGGTTAGGTATAAAACCTACCCTTAAGTAAAGTGTACACTTTTATGCTAGGTTAGGTATAAAACTTCCCCTTAAGTAAAGTGTACACTTTTATGCTAGGTTAGGTATAATACTTACCCTTCAGTAAAGTGTACACTTTGATGCTAGGTTAGGTATAAAACTTACCCTTAAGTAAAGTTTATGTTACAGCAATGTTGGATATATAACAGAACTAAACTTGCTTTGTAATTGATATGCACTCACATAACATTGGAGTTTAAAATGAGTAAGAGGATGGGGAAAATATCACTATTCTTTTTCAGGGTATCATACAGAAAAAAATATTGAATGACAAACTCGAGACCTCTCTCCTATTGTCATGCTGAAACCGTTTACCTATTATCAATTGGGAAATAATCATCCCTACAATGATCACCTAATCGTCGATAAGTAATCATGTTATCTTCTTTACATTTTCTGTATTTTTTTCAGTTTTGAAGGGAAACATAATCTACTTCACTAGTCTATTTACATATTTTCTGCTGTCTGCTTCTTACGAAACCTTTGCCTGTATTGACATTGATGTTAATCATCCCGTTTTAAATTAACCAATCACTACAATAACTTACTTTACTGTGCATGTGTACAAGGGGTTCACTAAGTTTCCGTTTTCGGCACCAATGATGAAATACAAAACACCCCTAAACTGTTTCCGGGCTTTTTTAAAGGTATTTAATGTATCGATAAGGGACATTTTTGTCCTTCATTGATCACAGGAGTAGGTTATATGTCAACAAGATTATTTCCCCTTACAGTGTGCTGTCATGTGATATTTGTTGAAACACTCACCAGTAAAATATGTTTAATGTAATTTACGTAAAGGGTATCTTGCTAAAGCAAACATATCGCAGCTTATCTTTTAGATGATAGGAAGGAAATGCTCACTTGTAATGTTTGAATGCCGTGCTCAAATCATAGTTTTGTCAGTCTACTGAGTACATAAAGCTTGATATCAGACGCTGTATGATGTGCTCAGATACCAGTTAGTAGGGAGTGGCCACGTGATACTCGGAATGAGGAAGGCCTCGTTGATAAAGAGCTTATCTAGCTTCACCTTATACGGGTGTATTACGTAATGCCGTATCTCTAAAGTAGTATGGATGAACAAAAGTTCAACCAATGTTTTACAATAGTTTATCGTAGCTCTCTGTGCCTTTGTGGGGTAATATGTGCATACCCGCGTGTTGAATTTGTTCATGCATATCATGTAATTGTTACGTGGTATATCAGATAGTATATGGATACTATTTAATTGTTACGTGGTATATCAGATAGCATAAGGATATTATTTCATTGTTACGTGGTATATCAGATAGTATATGGATATTACCAACAAAATACATTTAATTCGATCATGAAGGCAAACATAGTCTTTTTGACGAATTTTTTCCCGCTTCACACATCTTGAACATTTATTTCCCCCACCTAGAGTGTATTTAACAGCAGATAAAAACCTCGAATCCTTCGAACATATTCACTACCAAACCGGTACTCTACTGCTGGTGGAATCCTCCGATCCTTTAAACATTTAACCGACTTGGGCTGCACCCTACTGCTGCTAGAAACCTGTAGCCCTCCTAACGTATTCCCTATCTAGACATTACCATATTGTTGGTAGAAAACGTCAATCCTTCACACGTTTCCCCCCGCCTAAACTCACTGCGAAACGTTGATGCATGTTGTGTCTTGGGAATGTCATTTGATGTAGAGTAAGAAATAAACAGGATTAGTCGTTACCTATGGCAAGTTCTGGTTCTGTGTTTCTAAATATGTGGTGGTTCAGTTGTATTAATCCAAGGAATTATCACGTAATCAGACAAAAGCTACTTAAACAAGGCTGTTTTAAAGGTGTTATCTATCACGATCAGAGCATCAGTGCCAATGTTTACGGTTCTATTGAGAAACATGGTTTCAGAATGGTGATCGGCATCCGGTCACTGTACGCCATATTAACACAAACATTTTACACTGCTAGGTCACAAATAATAATAAACTGAATCCGTCAATTTCACATGGTAAGATTATATTTTGAGTACTCCATGCTTGTTACACATGTTTGTATTGTGAGATGGTCGATTTTTACCCCATCTTTGCTGTTATAGCCATATGTTAAGATCAACATTTATAGTATAGAGTACATCTTTAAGTATTGTGATATTTGATCAAGATTGATCTTGATTGATACGTCATTAATAAATGACATTAACAACACAATAAAGTATCCATTATCCTTTAGAATCCGACATAATATGATCTAAAAGTAAACTAGCTGTGGTATCTTTGCTCGGTTTCAGAGATGACTTGAAAAAGGTATGTGAGTTATGCACGACATGTACGTGTTGTGATAACGGTAGAGAAACTGAAGGAAGTTGTTACATTTGTAAGTACTCAATACCGGGAATAGTGATAATCGGCGGGTGTAAGGATGGTCGATAGTATTTCGTATTGTGTTGACTTTGGCGCCGTTATCACGTCGTTATCGGCCGGGACAGAGTACACACGAGCCCAACGGGACATTTTACATGTGTGGTGACAAAGACAACATATACAGACAGCCTCACAGACAACACACACGGCACCAGTCCAGGTAGGCATGGTCAACACGTCTTTTATTTAATAACTCTCATTTCGTGTTTTTGCATTTGTATTTTATTTTTTCATCATGTAGTTAACAAAGTATGTGAGAAACAGTGAATCTATTTCCGGTTAATATTTCATATGTGTTGTTGCAGATTTTAACATGACCCTACGCACATTGCTGTTACTTGTAAATTGTCTTTGATACCACAGGGGAGTGTTGATCAGGTGTTTCACGTCAACATGATATCATTCTGGCACATGCTGTTGCTTCCCCTTCTCTTCGGGCTTAGTGAGCAAGGTGAGTGCTGTTTAATACCGGATACCTTTGTACATATGGAACACTATGGTATGGCTGATAAATAGGCCTTACACACGAATTTAAACTACCTGGTTTCGAGCGGATGAAGTAGAGGACACTTACCCTTCCGGAACGCATGGCCTTATTAGCATTTTAAAGTTTCAAATTTTTCCACGAAATCTTCCTTTTGTTCATAGTTTGCCATAGTTTAGTATCTGAGAATTACGGTTTGTTCCAACTTCGTTATAATCTTCTTATTTTCCGGTAGTTTTAGCCGTTGTGGTATCGCACAGCGTTACACGATGTGCGGTGTGCGCACGATGTGTGCACGGTGTGTGAACGATGTGTGAACGATAAAAAACGTGGACGATCATTGCTTGCGCACATTTGTGCGGGCGATCGACGAACGTTGTGCGATAACAATCGTGGTTGGTGTAAATTGAGGAATGGCTTAGCAATATATACGGTTTCGTGTTTAAACATATAAACTTTTTAGTATGCTTCTATATTCAAACTACATCTATAAGCTTATCTTTCTGTCTATACTTTTTTAAATTTAGAAATTGTGTTTTTTTGTGTTTTTTAAACGACCTTAATCGACACATGTAAAAGTACAACACAGTCTCGGCAACACAGGTAAACAAAGCCACTTTGTATCTGGACAAGGTGTGAAAACAAGGTGGGATCCGGAGCTATAGACCAAAACAAATGCAAATAACAAATATTAAACGTTCAGTTGTGTTTTCATAACGGTCAGACGGTTTCACATATCAGCTCTATGTGACAGGCAAAGGCCAGGTAAAACTCCGGTCACTCATCAAATTGTTATTTACCTGTTCTAGATCTGTTACCGAGGAGCAAAACTCATTCTTGACAGTCTAACGGTCACTGTATACTGTGTTACACGCAGTGTAAAATGTATAAAATCTAAATTATAGTGATGAGAGAGTTACAGTAATATATGCAGTGTACATTATTGCATCGGAGCCTTCCGTATGTTTTTCATTCCGTAATATTCATCAACAAATTGAACCAAATCGCACAATTGTGCGGAGAGTAGCGCACAACGGGGCGAACGATTGTTAAATCGCACAGTTGTGCGCACCAAGTGTGGACGATGTGCGTGCTTTGTGTGAACGATGTATGCACGGTGTGCGCACGGTATTTTTGGTGCGTTGTGCGGTCACACAACTATATAAATGTCATCAAAGGGTGAGAACTGGCACTGGGAAACATCGGGTAATCGATTAATAAATACCTGTTCAAGCACCTTTCCTATTTCAGATTATATGATAAGTCAAAATGAATGTAAGCTGTAAACAACAAATGCCATGAAGAACGTGATATTTGACTGATTCATTTTTACACCTATTTGGTATAAGACCGGCGTGCCCTACGGAACTGTTTACGGGTATTAAACGGGAAAGCCTTACGACTTTAGTATCACCTTTTGTTTGGGATAAAGGTTCTAAAAAATGGAGCCCCAGAAATTTAAAGTAAAACGAGAAAATGCAGCACGCCTGTCTACAAGGACACTGTCACAGAAAACGTGTTGTATCCACAATGTTGCTTCCATCGAATCAAAGGAGCGACAAAGTTGCAGTATACAGCACAGTTTGATATTCCTGAGACATATTGCAATTTGAATATTTTTCTTTAAGGTATTTGTTAATACGTTAAAGAAAACCTAAGAATCATTGAATCGTTTAAGATTTATTCTAGTGTGATTGTGAAAGAATGATGAATTTCTCTTAGCCTAGTCTAGTTGGTATACACTTGGTACATTGTTACACACTCCGATATATTGCTGATAATTGATATGGCATTCAAATTTGGTAAATGAGGTAATGTTTCTATAATTATGTTTCAGATGTAGTGTCGAATACAGGGTGTCCCAGGTCAGGTCGCCTCGATCTTCATACCATACCAGAAAATTTACCAACAGGTTTGTTCATGACGACATCAGCAACCATTTGTCATATACATGCCTTATGTAATAATTGAATTTGATTAATTTGGTAATATTTATATGAACCTTTTATGTATAATCCTTCATTTCATGTTGAGAAAAGTAATCACCACGTTGACGTGAATATGATTTATACCTCCAACATTATATCATGGCGTAGTTTCCATGATATGAACAAGGTAGATTATTCAAAATATTGAATAGAAATTTAAATATAATTTTATCATTTTTTGTGCAATCCAATATCAATTGAATTTTGTTAACTTTCTCTTTAACTCCGCCTTTCAGCAATACAAAAGTAATTATAAATAAACGATTTTATAGCACGTAAGGCAAATATTTATAATATCTCTTCGATATTCGGAAATGTTTCTTATGTTTTATCTCCCTTTTGGAAAAAGGAACAGCAAAGAGTCAAAACTGATGACAATGGAGTGTACTCAGGCAGATTCGAAACCAATAATACATTTACAGGCTATCAGACAAAACCGATGACAATTGGGTGTACTCAGGCAGATTCGAAACCAATAATACATTAACAGGCTATCAGAAAGTTAAAGCATTAATCAATATATCTAGAATCTTGTAATGTATACGAAAAAGTATTAAATTATGAAGTGTTCAACATTTTTGCTAGCATGGTTTATTGCTAACCAATGATATTATTTCTTGGAAAGGTATGGATAAAATGTTTGTAGAGGAACAGACCTATATGCACATGACTGATTTGATTTTAAGATCAAATCATACAATGAGACAGAAGTATCACACGAAGTCGTAGCTTTACTTGTTATAATTTGTACCATTAGACAGAGGTATCACAGAAGCTCATAGTTTTAATTGTTATAATTTATACCATGAGACAGAAGTATCACACAAACACATAGTTTTAATTGTTATTAATTACACCAAGAGACAGAAGTATCACAAAAACTCATAGTTTTAAATGTTATAATTTATACCATTAGACAGAAGTATCATAGAAGCTCATAGTTTTAATTGTTATAATTTATACCATTAGACAGAAGTATCACAGAAGCTCATAGTTTTAATTGTTTTGATTTATACCATGAGACAGAAGTATCACAAAAACTCATAGTTTTAATTGTTATAATTTATACCATTAGACAAAAGTAACATTTATGCAATCGATGTAATATCTTAAATATAAAATTCGCTTGCAGGAACGGAGCTGATCATCTTCACAAGCATACGTAATATAGCACTTTCTGGGCCAGAATCATCACATTTTAATGTCATTGCTAAGGGAGTTAACGAGTACGGAGTCACCGTCCTGAGACCATACGACTTCGAGAATCAGGTAAGGTATCAATACTGGAGGGAGTCTAAACGGCGGAGGCTGTCCAGTGGGGACAATTGATAACTTACTGTTTCATAACTACATTTATATGATCTATATTTTTTTAAATTTCATGTGACATTAGTCAAAGGAATTTTTACATTTTGATTTCAGTGAGTCATTTTCGATCTAAAACGAAAACGTCGGCTCGTGTTACATAAATCCATATGAAATGGAAACTAATTTAAAATCCTCTCTATCATATTACAAATGATAATATGCAAATACCTAAGGAAAACATTTTTTTCTGACCATGGTCATACCTAAATGTTGCAATGGTGACCTATTGCCGTCATTGCCGATTGTGTCTCGTAGTAATCTGATGTCACAGTGGGTGTTACTATATAAGCTCATACACAAAAATAGAGTACCTAAGGTTTGATGATGGGATCTTATTTAATGATCATAAGTTTGAACAAATATGATGAATCGGTCCCGTAGGAAAGTTTTACATTCATCTATGCTTTGTATGCTTTGTGACTATACTGTTACACGTTTTATTTTATACTTTCAGTCGTCGTCGTCGTCCTTCAAAGATGTTTCTTTTGCATGTACTCAAGTGAATGGATCAGTCGTACAGGTTTGCTAAATGGAATTTTGTGCAGTCCTAGTTTTGTAATATATTGAGAATGATACGTTGTTCCTGTATTCCAGCCGTATACACATATACGTTTTACCCGTCCATTTATCTGATGTGACAGCCTACTTTGGTCAAACACTTTACGAGTAAATATACAGGCAGTAAAGTATGCATGGTTTCTAATTTGGTACTAGTTTTGAATATTTCCTTGGATATTTTATTATTTAAAACGAATTAGATACATGGAATATATTGTAAGTTAAATGGCGATGATCATAATTAATGCATTTCAATTAAACAGAGACTTGTGAATGTTTGGCTGTCTTTAAGAAAGATAGCAGTGTCAAGTTCCAGTAATACTGTTTATCAACACGTTTTGCTTTCAGGGTAATATTCAGTTTGTAGTGACAAATGTGATAGAAAGTTCACCAGACTTTGGAAGGAGTGATCATTCACATTTCGTTATACCGGAGGTATGTAGACACACAAAATTCCTATATAAAGTGTAAGATCACTCAAATGCTACAATGTACATTTATTGCCTTGGAAAGTAATACGATTATGTGTAGTTGTAATATTGGTATTTATTTTGGTATTTCATAGTTATAGCACTGGTATTTAATGCGGTTTTTTGCGATTATATAAAGATATTTGTATTAAATACGATACTGGGTGGTTGTAGTACTGACATGTGATTCGTATTAGATGTACATGCTTTTGTCCTTACAGGCAAATCTTAGGACTTTATTTCGGACCTGATATGCCATTATGTTAAAAACATTTTGTTTTCCATTTTGTTGAATGTGCTGAGGATTTTTTTCTACCAATTAACGGTGTACTAAGAGCAAAGTAAATGCATTATATTTCTCTCTATGCTTTCTTTCTTTGCTTCGGTGCCTCGATAGTCGTGATCGCTAACGCGCACAGTCATTACTACTATGTGCAATCAAGCGTAAGCTTCAGACCACTCACTCTCCCAAGAATATTTCGGTTCGATCCCTAGTGGTGGCGGAAAAAGAGAGTGATGTTTGATAGGGAGAGTTGTTTTCCCTCCGATGGCACGGTGGTTTTCCCCGTACGCTTTCCTCCACCACGAAAACAACATTTTTCCCCTAAAGGACCTGTCACACTTAGCCGATTTGGGTCGCCGGAGCTATACCGGAGCACAAATTTGGCGATTTTCGGGGATCGGTACTAGTACGGCAGCGCAACGGTTTCACATCTCTAAGAACGGTAGTGCATCGTCACGACATCGTCAGAACATCGGCGAAAAATTTAGCAACAGCAGGCGACGGAAGAATTTTTTGAACGTGGTCAAAAAATTCCCCCGTTGCGCTGCCGGAGTGAGCAACGGGACTACAACGGTAGTACAACGGCAGTGCTCAGATATGGCTTCGTTAAGTTTTTTTCAAGTGCTTTCTCGCCGATTTTTCTTGCCGGTGTTAATGTTTTGCTCCGGTTTAGTCGGTAGTGTGTAACAGACCCTTTAGCGGCGTCGTAATAAAAGCTCTATAGAGCTATGTTTGTTGTCGACAATTTACACGACGTTAAATACAGATTTTTTAAATTTATTTACTACTTACATTTGTTACGAAGCTTGGTTCACAGGTGAGCGTTAGATAAGGTGAATATAAAATGTCTATTATCTCAATTTCTCATGTAACTTTACACAAGAATAACTGCGTTATCGAAACTACACGTGTGTTATCAATATTTAATAGATGCATATCGTTTATCGGGCAAGCTCTATATGTGCTTTAATGACTTGGTGTTTTCTGTTTTCCCCTTCAGTTTTATGCTGTTGTCATTTACTGGACAAGTACGTCCATACTCTCACACATGTACCTACATGTGTATGAACAGCAATGTTTTTTATAACAACACATATATTTCAGAACTCTCCAATCAACACCACAGTCGGCACACTCCATGTTACCGTGGCAGACAAATATGTATCTACTTTTGTCAACTTTGGACTGGTAAGTGGTTGTTTTTAGAGTGATTCATATTATAATCATATCCGTTTAACGAAACCAGTCAATTAGATATTTGCTGATTTTAAAAAATCTAACTGTTCAAAAATATATTTTGTTATCTTAAATATAAAATGTATATTAAGCTTTTATAAGTATGTGATAATTACTTTAAAATACTATACAGATATGTAAATGCATAATTTATTTGTAGATATTTGTATGTAATATAATTTTGATTTCGTTATATATTCATAAATATGTTTTGTATTTATATGTTCTGAATATCGATCTCATTCACGTAAATTTCGAGTAAGATAAATTATACTGTAGTTGTTACAGTTCTATCTATTTGTAAAAATGTATTCGTTGAAACTTCATCACCAAAGGATATAGTGCTAATGCTTTGCTTGTATCTCAGTCGTGGTGTCTTAGACTCTTGCACTAAATGAATTGTATCTCAGTCGTGGCGTCTTAGACTCTTGCACTGAATGACTTGTATCTCAGGCGTGGTGTCTTAGACTCTTGCACTAAATCACTTGTATCTCAGTCGTGGGGTCTTAGACTCTTGCACTAAACGACTTGGTTCTCAGTCCTCGTGTCTTAGACTCTTGCACTAAATGACTTGTATCTCAGTCGTGGTGACTTAGATTCTTGCACTAAATGAATGCTTTTTAATGTAAATACTCATATGTACCATTACCATGTATTCCTGAACACAAAGAACATTAACGTAAAAGCAGATATTATTGCCATATCTTTTGAAACGCAATGAACGCTTTTGGATGTAAAATATACGAATCGCTGTCAGCTTAAACATGCTGATGGTTAATCGAGTGCATACAATGGGCAGTAACTCGTCCAATGTGATTGCGAAGACATTTTCATACATACAGAACATTTGCTTTACAATAAGTGGAAAGCATAGTGAACAGAATGTTAATGTGTTGAGGTAACAAGGATAATTTGACAAACTTGTTGCAGATTAACACAGGGACGCCATTCAAAGTTGGCTGGCCTCCAAACAATCAGCCTGACAGATACCTGACAGCGGTGATATCGGTACAGGATCCAGCACTACTAAACTACGAAAAGACTACCTATTATACACTGACAGTGACAGCCACGGTACTGTCCTCTCCCCTGTCACGCTGGGGATACTTAGGCACTCTGTTTCTATAATATAGCACTCTCTTCCTTTGTTTGGTGTCTTCGTAGTTCATGTTGTCTTCTGTTTCGTTAATGAGTTCGGATCTTGATGTTCTTTATTGACAATAATTTTAGGGGACTATATCATCTTTTTGGAAGTTTGTTCAAATTTAAATACTAAAAAATCGAATATTTCAAAAGTTCTTCAAGACGCCTGATAGCATTTAAAACATTCTGATTTTGTTATCATATATTTTAAGATATCAAATACATACCATAATGGATAATGTAGCAATGCTATTTCATAGCTAAATAGATCTTATGGTATGTCTGTATCTAAGTTCATATGTGTCCTATTTACTGTCAACCTGTGTAACAAGACCATATAACGGTGTTCTATCTATATTAACCTAATACTAAGAAACATTTGGTCCTTTTTGACAGATTAATATAGATAGAAAACACCAATTTTGAGAATCTCTATGGAAGTAGATATAGGCCAATCGTCTTAAATAACATGTTCTATTTAAAAACAATAGTCTGTACAGATACAGTTGTGTTTTTATTTAGGAAGAATCATTTCTGGAGTTCTTCAGATGTTAGATATTCGTGTAGTGTTTAGAGACAAAGGATGTTGAAAATAGGGTATAACACGGCTTGATCAATAATTCAAACTTATGAATCAATACGTGGACGATTCGCATTGATTATGCGACTGTTTGTTATATTATAACATAATAAACACTGTTGTACATACCATGTGATCAATTGACATGATATCTGGTTGTAGGTGTCAGACACGAACATTACCTCTACTGCCACAGTATATATCAATGTCACCGACGTGGATGACATACCCCCCAAGTTTGATCAAAATGGATATAACGTAACTGTTGCTGAAGCGGTAAGTTTTAATACAATTATTAAATTTATAGAAACTGAATAGTAGTGAAATAGCTGTACTGCCCCTCTGTATAAGAAGACAAAGTATTGTATTCAAACCAACATACAAAGTCCAAATTACTGTAATCCTGTGGGAAACCGTGCAACTAACGCATAAATATTGGTGGTACATTGATGCATTCCATTTGTTGTACTATGTATAACTGCGTACTAGCCTTGTAGAGTATTGTTTAGTTGCAGTATTCGTAATTATTTTGGTGTTTCATAGTTATAGTACTGGTATAGTAGAATTCGTATTTATTTTGGTGTTTCATAGTTATAGTACTGGTAAAGTCGAATTCGTATTTATTTTGGTGTTTCATAGTTATAGTACTGGTATAGTAGAATTCGTATTTATTTTGGTGTTTCATAGTTATAGTACTGGTATTGTAGAATTCGTATTTGTTTTGGTATTTCATAGTTATACATTGTAGTAGTAAAAAAGTCTTACTACACTTCTGTATAAGAAAAAAAGTATGTGCTCAATAACCAACATACGAAGTCCAAATCAATGTATTCTTGTAGGAAACCGTGCAACTAACGCATAAATATTGGTGTCACATTGATGATTTATATATTGTACTATGCATAACTGCATACTAGCTTTGAAAAGTATAAACGTAAGTTATTTGTGTTACAAACAAATATTATCGTTGTCTAAACGTTACATAAATATCATAAAATACATACATTATGGCGGCAACCTTACTTGTATTGGCCTGTTGATGCATTATAACATAAATGTTATTATTATTGACCTGTCAATGCATTAAAACATTATCTTTACCACCATTGACCTGTTCATGCATTAAAACATTCACCTTGCCACAATAAACCTATTGATACATTATAACATTTATTTAACCGAAACTGTTTTGTTGATGAATTTTAACATTAACTTTACTATCATTGACCTGTTGATTCATAATAACATTAAATTTACCATCATTGACCTGTTGATGTATTATAACATTAAATTTACCATCATTGACTTGTTGATGTATAATAACACGAACTTTACCATAATTAACCTGTTGATGCATTTTAACATTAACTTTACCATCATTGACCTGTTGATGCATTATAACGTTAACTTTACCATAATTAACCTGTTGATTCATTATAACATTAAATTTACCATCATTGACCTGTCGATGCATTAAAACATTATCTTTACCATCATTGACCTGATGATGCATGTTAACATTAACTTTACCATAATTAACTGGTTGATTCATTATAACATTAATTTTACAATCATTGACCTGTTGATGCATTATAACGTTAACTTTACCATTATTAACCTGCTGATTCATTATAACATTACTTTTACCATCATTGACCTTTCTATGTATTAAAACATTATCTTTACCATAATTGGGAGGTATGTGAGGGCATGTTAATAAATATGTATATTTAAAAAAAAATAATAATCGGTGCAGAGTGTAATTTCTGATGTTCCCAAATTAAGCAGTGCTCATGTTGAACTCAAGCATGTATATAATCCTATGGGTATTGTAATGTAATGAATTGTTATGTTATTTAATGTTTAGTCTCTGGTCTTAATGTAATTGTTCACATGAAAATCAATAAAAAAAATGAAATGTAAAAAAAACCAAAAAAACTTAACCATCATTGACCTGTTGATGCATTATACCACTCACTTTACCATCATTGTCCTGTTGATATATTATAACACTATCTTTACCATCATTGACCTGTTGATATATTATAACACTAACTTTACCATCATTGACCTGTTGATATAGCATACCATTAATTATAACATTATTGTCTGTATTAGCCTCTAGGCTATGTATGGCCAGTTAACTAGGTGATATTCGAGGGAACTCCAATATTTTTATCATTATTAGTGGTAATTGGCAATCATCGTTCTATAAAACCTAATTTATAACGTCATATTAATATATATTTGCATACAGTTATCTATGTTATATGTAATCGCTATTTATCATTGTTAGATATCTTTTGTATTGAAGTTTTATAAGCTTTATTCAATGAAATATTGTAAACGATATCTCTATTACATCGGTGGTTTTTACCATCTAAATGTAAATTAGTATCCTGGTATAAATGTATCATATGATGTTGTAATTCTGATACACAAATTGAAGTAAGTATAATGGTATTCCAGATGTACTCTTCAAAAGAAATTATCAAGTTAGTGGCCAGAGATAAAGATGCCGGACAGAAGCACACCATTCTCTACTCCTTGGTCAGAGGTATACAAACACATAAGGACATTAATTAACTATATACAGATGAGGCCAATCCAATTGTCATCTATTTTGCATTGCTTTCAAATATATGATTATCAAAAAAGTAAAGTAAAAACAAGACAAAGACGGAGCTGCTCCGAGTCGAGACGACCAAACAACGACAGAAGCTGAGTAAACCTCTGCTTAATAACTACAACGAAAACAAGATGGTCTGGGATTTAATTTTTCTGTCCCACCTTTATCCACATTTTGATGTACGAGCACTGCAATGTCAAACCTGTTTAAATAAATCCATTATGTTCATCAGAACAACTCATTTAGGAATGTTTAAGGTCAAGAAATATATCGGGTCTGTAGGGTTTTCATTATGGTATTTTGTACATTGCGCTTGTGAAAAATTGGTTGTACTGTAAATAATCTCATGATAAACTCCTTGCAGTGTTCCCACAGACAACTTTGTTCCGGATAGTCAATACAACAGGACAGGTGCTCGTAAACGGAACAATGGACAGAGAGAAATGTGACAACTACCTCCTTCTGATCAAGGTAAGATATGTTGTGAATATCGGTAGAGGGACAGTTGACCGAAGCTTGTACCTCCTTCTGATGAAGGTTAGAAAGCCATCCTCGGCACGTGGTTAGGCAGACATATGACACCTGCTTCCTTCTGGTTAAGGTAAGGGGTCGCACGTGGTAAGGGAGATATGTGACCGGGATATTCTTGTTAAAGTTTGTCAAAATGGGACCCTGAACAAGATAAATCCTGACCATGTTCTGACCACAAATAAAAAAGTACACCATAGGAAAAAGAACCTGAAGACGGTTACGGGTGGTATGACACTCGGACCAGTACATAGTAAATAATAAGTAAAACATTGCCGTTGATGATATACGTGACATGTGATTAGTCTTTTCACGGTAATTATGCAATAACCTATGTATGTTTTTGTCAGGCATTCCAGATAGACAAGCCGGACCTGAGGATGGACATGACCACTCTGAAAGTGACCGTATTGGATAAAGACGATAATCCTCCTGTGATGGCGCAGACCCAGTACACCACCCGTATCCCCGAGAACACACCCACCGGCACGAATGTTCTCACTGTAATAGCGACCGACGCTGACCAGGTACGACTATACACAGGGACAAGATGATCCCAGGTTGTGACTAATTGAAAGTTTGACACCGGGACTAACTGACCTTATGGCGTGACTTTACATTTATGTGACGCAATGAAAACTAATCTTTTCGACATCCTGACGTGACAATATGGTGGTGATACAGAATACAAGGTGATTAATCGACCTTATAGTGTATATAGCGCGACTGTATAGTAGTACAGTGGTCAACACTTGGACTAAGCGACCTTGAAATGTTACTATATGTTTGTGATACTGATAACACTGAGAATTATTGACCTCATAAAGTGATATAAGAAATAATCAACATAAGTGTGTGTATTATAGTGGAATAAATAACGAGATTGAGAAAATATTGGAAAATGCTTAACGAACAAGCGGCCTGAGTTGATTATTTTTCAACATTTTCGATATCGTAGTTATTTTGTCCACCATAATGTACAACCGTATGTATATTATATCTATTATACTAAGTAAAATGCAACCAAAACTTTTATCGTGCCTTAGTGTCCTCGGGCTTCTGATACGTTAAGTGACCCAGATAATCTAATAATTAACATAAGGCTAGGTGGGTTTTTTTGCATGCTTACATTTGTCACGTAATGCCTATGTCTTCATTTATCAACAAGCTGCGTGTTTATATCAGTTATAACCCTGTGGGCAGTTGTCCTATTTTTTCTATTATAACCTGGATACAGTTTATATACTCTGCAAGTCTTTTTCATTTTCAATCGTCATTTGGTCGACAGACGATAAACAATTAAAACTGACGTCATGTTTTCTACGAAATGTTTATTTTAATCAATCAAATCCACCAATCTTTCGACATCGCTCGTCAACACTTGAAATAAGCAATTGACACATTTACAAACACTATTTCAAGTCACCTTATAAATAATTACCTTTGTTGTACGTTAATTCTAGAGGTTAAATATAAAGCTTGTTCAAAGGGAATCAGTCCTGCGGTTCGATTGTTAACATTTGCATGGGAGGTTTTTGGATAAGCGTTTGTATGTTGAAGAATAACACGTGCATGTACATGATATATTGTCCATTCTAACACGATTCGTTTGCAACTCGTGTTTTTATTGAATACGGACCATGATCTAATCTGCGATAGAATCATGATCAATCGTGTTAAGCTCATCCCATTGCACTTAAGCCACGCCCCGTTACTAACCAAAACAATATGACGTCAAGCTCGTCCCTTAGCGAAATCCCGCTGATAAGCTTAAGGCTAGCAGGCATCAGAACAGAAACGACCGATGAAATGTATTTGTTGAATGAATTAAAAAGTAAAAAGTAAACATTCCTTGTTCTTACCTCCATTTATTACTGAAACGTTCGTTCCATCCGTGTGAAGGCATCTAGTTAGATCCGAAATCAAATGAAACATTTCACATGAATTTAGACAAAACTCTTCACAAATCTATACGAATAATTACCGATTTTGTCGATAAGCACAGATTGGTATGCATACTGACTTGAAAATGTAAAAATTTGGTCAATATTAATCCAAATGTGTCGTATAAACTTTAGTAACGAACAGTCCAAATATTCTGCCTCGTCAACATACAGATCGAGCGCTCGCCAGTATGGGTGGGGCCAAATGACCGACTTTTGAAAGCTTCTTTCCGATTGGTCAGTCCGCTGCAGAATCACATGTCGCCAGTTCAGGTCACAAAGTACTTTACTGCGTACTTTTGTACAAGGAAATTCAATATTAGCGTAGTATATTTGTTAAGGTATGTTAGAATGGGGATAGTACGTTGTTTTTCGTGTCTATACCGGCGATTAGAGCATGCAATTTGGTTTAATCTCTCGACCTATCTGTCTCGAGTTAAAACCAAATTTCATGTTCTAATCGCCAGTATAGCCACTCAAAACAACGTACTATCCTCTAAATAATACATGGCTATTAACCAATGAAAAGTGTCTTTACCTCGCAAACGTGATAGAATATGTGGTAGACTGGCTGTATGATAACACAGTAACATGCGATCTAACTATGGTTTGATAAGATGGTAGCTTGACACAGTTCATACAGTGACTAGCCGGCCTCATTGTACATCGTATATGAGTGTGTAACACCACGATACAAACGTAACTCGGAGACTATCATCGCTAAACGATACCAAAGTGATCTTTCAGAATCTGAATAACGCTATACCGATCATCATAAAAGCTATACCTATTAATGTGTTACCGTAATCGATTTAACTGTATCGACAGCGATATCAGTTCAAAATAAATCCTTGTCAACTGTATTAATGTTATTTGTATTAGCTATACCATTGTAATCTGTAAGAATCTTAATACTTTCAACTGCACCATAACATCCCAATAACATTAGCTATATCACCATTAACGTTTAGTATTGTTATATTTATCCTCATCAACTTTGTTCAATGAATTATTGTTAGTTGTCAAAAATTGTTTGTTTTTCACAGGGTGCGAATGCTGAATTTCATTACAAAATAAAGCAGCAGGGCAATCTTGGCGCGTTCAGCATTAATCAGTCATCCGGCCTGATCAGTGTTAACAACGGCAGCTTTCTAGACCGGGAGACGACCCCAACTTGGACGTTCACGGTGAGATACGTTATACTGCTTACATTTTGTAACATTAATTGATGTGTATTAAAAGTATAAGGATGGTGCATGTCTTTGTCTATGAGACGGACGTTAAAACAGATGCTAGGATAGTAATGTGACAACGTAAACTGTAACACAGATATTCAAGAATAAAACTGAACGTCAATTGAATTACAATCTTAAAGGCATCACAGTGTATACTGTAGTACAAGATAGTATGGGAAAGTAGACTTTAAGTTATAAGTTTAGGTAGTATTCAGAATGTTTTTAACTGTATTGGATGTATATATAAGAATGTGTGTGTGCTGAAGGCAGTTGTTTTCAATGTACAGGTATTTGCGGAGTCTACGCAGAACAGTAGTATGAGAAGTAAGGAGGCGAACATTACTGTCATCCTGTTGGACGAGAACGACAACAACCCAGTGTTTAACGCTTCTAACCACACATTTCTTGTCAACAAAACCCTTTCGATACTGGGCCACATCGGAACGGTATACTATAAACAACTGGTGTAAATAATACGTTGAAATGCTGGTCAACTATTGTTTTATAATGTTCCAAATTCATTTTATAATACATCATTGACTCTTTTTTTCCAACATTTTCTCCATGTTGGAAGGTATGGGTTGTAAAAAGAGTTTTGTAGCACAACCAATAAGTGTTTATATGTGACTTTTCGATGACTAGTACGGTATGTAATCTGTCACCTTCATCAGGCAAATGATTAGTGCTTGTCATCGAAACGTCACGTATAAACACTTATTGGTTGTGCTATGTGACTCATTGGCGTTCCAACATACAGTTGTGTGATCGCACAACGAACCAAAAATAGCGTACCGTCCCCACAAATTATTGTTCGCACATCGTGCACACATTGTTCACAAACCGTGCACACACCGTGCGCACACCGCACATCGTGTAGCGTTGTGCGATCCCACAACTGTACAAGTCATATTTCAAATTAAATATGCTGTTTAATATCAACTTCACTTAAATATATATGTAATTGGGAAAGTTCATGTAATTTTGGAAAAATGAAAGCGATAACAATGACATTGTATTATTTTTTAAGGTAAGGGCAAGTGACAGTGATGAGTCTAACAACGGTCAGATTGTGTATCGACTTGAAGGTGATGAGTCGAGGCGATTCAACGTCAGTACAGAGGGCGGTTTTGGCAATATACAGGCTGTGGCGGCGCTTAGTTCCGCATACAAACCCTGGTACAGGTTCACTGTCGTTGCCAGTGACATGGCCTCTATTGGGTACAGGAGGTGAGCGTCTATAAGATAATAAATACGTATGCATTTCAAACTAATGGAAGAGGCTTAAAGTAAATTTTATATGAAATGAAAACAGATTAGCTAATCAGTAAAAAAGATAATAAATGTAAAAAAAAAAAAAGATCGCATATTGAAATATAGTATTTGTCTAAATCTTTGTATCAATTTTCACTAGTACTGTGTATGCTACAACAAGACAAACAGGTGTTGACTGTGGTGGCCATGGTTTATTGCAGGCAGACGTCTGCTCAAGTCGACGTACGTGTAATTGATGAAAACGTCAATACACCTGCTTTCGTGAACATGACTACTAATATATCTGTTCCGGAGGATATTGATATAGGGAGAGATGTCCTACTATTACAGGTAAATAAATAAGACAGGGTGGGAAGTCGTACAGTTAAATATGATTGTCACGTGATATCAATCTGGTGACACTGGTAAGGAGCAAGTGTGTCTGCGTTTGAAACGGTTGATGTGATAACTAGATATAGGTATACTGAGCTTCTGATGTAAATGTTTACCATTTTGTAATATTACTTAACGACGCAGATGTGTGGAGATGGCATTATTTGTTATACAGCTGCGGAATAATTGAACTGATGTAAACATGAATATTTTTGTTACAAACAGATTCGATAACATGAAAATATTCGCAAAACCGTTTACTTAGTACCGCTTCACTAGAAACTTCCCAAGGAAAAGTTTACTGTAAGTTTGTAAATTTCGTATGGATTTAATTTCGCAATGTAAACTGTCACTAAAGATAGCACAAAATTAAATACCCATCGAATATTAATACCATGTACAAATAAAGATAAAAAGCAAAGATCTGTTGACCCTTTTACTGCCGACTAATGGAGATACAGCACCAATTCAATATCGTATTTTAAGATATTTTGAAGAAAACAGCAATCGTTGAATAAATCCCATTACCCAAACACCAAACTACCTTCTTGAGTGTCTTGAGTGCAGTCATGTTGTTACCCTGCAATAATTATAATAAGCGAAATTTGATCTCTGCGAACTAGTTCTGATTGGGACAACTGCGAAATATGAGCCCGCGGAAATAAAACAACTGTACGATACTCTTCCCGGGCCTCTGGTGGTTTCTTTAGTGGCCGTTCCTCTAGTTTAGGTATCTCTTTTATTCCTGATGTTGTCTTTTTGTGTCAGTTTGAGTGTCGACTTCGTTTGACGATAGCGACGTTTTGGTACATACATGTATGTAACTTATGTTTCTTGCTTTTCGATATAACCAGGCATATGACGAGGATACAAGCGATGATTTGACCTTCATGTTCGGAAACGTATCTGACTTCAAACTCCACAGGGTGGATAACAGGAGGTACTATACAATGTATACAAATCAAACTGACAATAACGGTCTCTTCATGTATTTTGTAGAAAAAAACCCAATTTACTAAGTAAATAATGAGTTTGAAGTTTGAAAAGGTAATTTGTGCTGTGAGACATGTTTGACTTGTATGTCAGACATATACGACAAAAATGTTTGGTCATTCAACTATATGTTTGAAACATTTGGTCATTTATTTTAATGATCTACGCAAATAAACGTGCCTGAAACGTTTGGTTAGATATTGCTTTTTAACTATATAAATCACCACATGGTTTTTACTTGATGATTTATATATTTAGGGCCATGATTGTAATAAACAAGGCCTTGGACAGAGAATCTAGACCAGGTCACATTCTGACGGTTAAAGTCACGGATTCCGTACACGTAAGTACATTTATATCCCTTAAGACTTCTATATAGACAGTTTATAGTACTTCCTGATCCTCATATCTCCGTGCCAACTATCATATCACAGCTATATAAAACTATGTTATTCACTGTGTCATCAGTATCCGGTCACTGTAAGAAGACACGGTAATATTGAAGTGTAAATGAAACAGTAAAGAGATCAATATATACCCTTAAACAACAGCAATAACTATTAGACCAAATATTTCAGAATGATCAGTTTATTCTCTGTATCCTTTTCTTATAACAATCCTTAAATACAATTCACACTGCAAGTGTGCAGTATATTGAGGCTTATTATGATATATATATTGTTTTTGGCGCAAGTACATATACTTTAGGTTTGACTTACTTACTTGACATTTATCGAAATAATAGTGGTCTTTTTTGGAATTGGAGTAAGGAAGTCGAAATTTCTAGAAAAGTAAGATGAACACAGGTATAGTACATGTACATACGTGGTACATAAGATAATGCAGACAGTTCGTGCTTATAGATGGTACACAAGATGTTAATTCTGTTTTATTCCGTTAAGTCTCATGTTAACATCAAAAACATTTTCCACGAGTTGAGGTTTCACACACGTGATACATACTAGATTTCACACACGTGATAATACTATAATTGAATGACAGACATTACGATTTTTCTCTCGCCGTTTCTAGACATCCACAGTTACCCTGTCTATCAATATAGAGGACGTCAACGACAATGCGCCCGTATTTCAGCCTTCTTCTTATAACTTTACCGTTGACGAGGAAGTCTCCCCAACATTCATTGGTAGTGTTACAGTAAGTATACCGCATATAACATGACTAATTGTATGCTTTTAGTTTTTTGAAATGTCACTACCATCTTTGAGGAAGCCAACACCTCCACAGGTAGAATCGCATAACCTGTCAATGTTACTCTTCATTGTAAAAGTGTTGATCATATACTTTCACGCTATACATGTATACCAATGGACACATCTTAAGGACTAAATGAACACCGGTGATCTCTCAACCCTGTATTGATATTGATTATACATATGTACTTAAACAATGGATATGTTTTACAGCTCCTGCAATAAAACAACTTCAGTTATTTAAGGATTGGTGGTGTTTTAATTCTGCCAATACAATATCCTTAGAGTTTTACATAAACTTTGACCTGGACAAAAATTACGTTTACGTTTCTTTTCATTTTGACCTAATAACATAACAAGTTTTTCAGTCAAAATAAGAAAATTTGATATAAAAAAACACACATTTCTGTCTGACATTTATACTGCAATGATCTCTTAGTGTTTAGAAGTCGATCCGCTGTTGTATAACATTATGGTCCGGAGCACGAGGTGTCTTACTGCACCCAGCTCTATCATTACATGCACGGTGTGCATTTGTTTCCATTAATCGTTCGATCATTGTATTTTGTATGTGTAAAACTCCAAATGTTTGTTCAAATGAGTAGAGAGAAAAAAAGATGGTGTATTGTCTGAAGGTAGCAGGAGTAGGCGGTCTGATGGCCGTAATCATTTGAGCCAGGAAGACGAGAACGGTAGTGGGGTCAATTCACCAACATGGTCCTAATTACACAGGAGGAGATTCATTTGTTGTTAACTCAATTAAATTCATTCATTGTTACTTTCAACGATATTAATGATTCTGCAAGTACGATTTTGAATTGCACGTTTCCAATTTGTGGTCATTGAAGACCCCTCGTAATACAGTAAGTGGGTGGGGGATTTTCTGTTTTTACTGGAATCGGATTGTCTGTCAGTCTATCTGTAGAGACACCCCTCCCAATGTCTTGCACCGATTTGACAGGATCTTAACTCACAGAACATTTACACCAAGGGAATGTGAATAAAATATATGAATTCGAGTTAAATCTCCCTATGTATGGAGTTATGACTCTTTTGTTACAGCCCTGGAATGGGGTATTAGTCTGTAATACTGGCGACAATTCTGATAACAGATCTGTTTTCCATTATAATCCAGTATTAACTTTCCTGAAGTCAATGTAACGGATTGAAATTTCTTTATTTAATACAAAACTTATCCTATCCGCAAGAACATATAATTAAATTCTGATACTCTTGATAGAATCAAAATTGATGTTGCAAATATAAACACCGAGGAAGGAGCTTCTTTAAATCAACCTGTTAATTTTCGTAATTGGAAATCTACCTGATGAAGCTCGTGTCCATTTTCAAGTTGGGGAACCCCAATTATTATGTCCAATCATTTCGGTTCATATTATTATTTTTCCAGGCCACTGACAAAGATCTATTTGAAAATGGCATGCTACATTATTCAGTATTGCCACCGTGGTAAGAAACACAACACTTTATTTATATGGTGCATTGTACATTTTATCTGTGTGTTACAAGTATAACATACGTCCTGATAAAGCTAGTTTTACCAGCAACAGTATGTCTTTAAATATAGAAATAAGCGTATTAACAGAATGTCAATATTTTATTTCTTAGTCCACTAGTAGTGAAAAATGTGTCTGTAAGATACTAATGTATCAGTTGTAATCAGCTATAACATCCAAAATAATGATGTATCAAAGCATTGTTTTTTGTCATTTAGTAGTGATGTATATAACATTTGTCGTGAAAAGCTCATTCATTTATAAATAAATCATGCTAATTGTAAGCCAAACTTTACAAAACATGTTTTCATTTTTGTGACCAGGGGACGTAACTTCTCTATAACGGAATCAGGACAATTTAATGTCACATCATCATTGGACTGGGAAACGTTATCTGCAACGTCCGGTCAAATAACACTCCTGGTAATGGCGACAGACGGGGGAACGCCTCCTCTCATGGCTACAGCCGTAGTTACTGTACAAGTGAAAGATGTAAACGACCACGCCCCTAGTTTCATGGACAACGAAACGAATATAACCATGAACGAGGGACAGAAAGTTTACTTTCCAATTAAGGTATGATTATCGAAACATTGCTATTTAAAAAAAAAAAGGTGAAAATTTGCTTAATTTTAATTAAAAAAGGAAACAGATAATGTGTATGAGGTCTGAACAAAGAAACACAACACGTCATTTCATAGGGATTTATCCTATTTCAGGCATACGACGAAGATGAAGGGGCAAATGGTCGCATTTATTACAGTATCGAGGAAACTAACGCTACCTCAGTAGACGTTACAAAAGGAACACTAATGTCCACAGCTGCGCTAACATACGGGGTGTATCAGGTGGAGGTAATAGCTTACAACACTGTGCCTTACAGTACACGAGGACTATCCAACGGTACCCTGATAGTGTACATACATGTGAAGGTATGTACGTCACGTTACTTTATAAATTAATGTCATATATTTACTTGAGTAAACAAAAATGCTATACAATTGTGCATCTGACTTTGAACGACATAATTGTAACTAACAAATAAATTTCGATTAAAACAAAATTTAGATATCTTGTTATAAATATAATATGAGGCGTTCTTTTCATAACAGGACATCAATGATCACAGTCCACAGTTCACGAATACAACCTACACGTTTTCTCTCCGTGAGGACTTTGAAGTTGGACATTTGGTGACTCAGAGGTAGCTGCACATCTATTCACTGTATTAGAAATAGGACTTAATAAATATCGAACATTGTATAGGATCCAATACGTACAGTAGTGTAAAAGTGTGTGTACGTGCGGCTTATTTGCGAATGTTTATCTATATCTTAGCTGGTATATACATTCCTTTAATCAATATCATCATATGTTCAAACTTGTATTTTTGAATCTGGTTGAATGTGTTATAATGCAAATGTTGTTGTTACTTTGAAAACGATTAGTAAACCAATAGATAGAGATGATAATACATAAGTCACACTAAATATGTATGTTGTTAATAATTAATGAATGTGACTCCAATACATATACTTAGTGATTAGCTAGTGCGGTTGTAGTTTTCGTCTTCTCTTGCGATATTGTATTGTTTTAGTAAAATGTCTTTTTACTTTATTTTGATGTTATCATAATATGATTGCTTTCTAGAAACGAATGGTTGAGGCGATTAATTTAGATATAGAATCAACTACTTCATCATAGAAATATATTGTTTTGATCGCTTTCAAATGTTCAAATAACAATTACCAATTTATCAACTTATCAATTACCAACTTGCCACTGCGCACCAGACTGGTATATTGACTTCGTTAATCATTGTTGTGACACCAAAAGATTGATAATTTTTAATCAAATATCAGAACAGCAAATTTATCGCTAGCTGTATTTTTAATAAACGCTTCAGAGATTTACCATTGAACACATCACTCAAAATTTGCACGCTCGACATTGATGAAGTATATCTCGAAATATTATTTCTATTCATTTTATTAACAAACTTAAATTTCACTTTTATTATTATTGTATGAACACAAACAAAACGATTACTGACCATGAACACGTGCATGTGCCTGTAAAGGTTTAAGAATGCGTTAACGTTTACCAGTATCATAAAAAATTGTACATAACAATTGTGTGTGTTGACAAATGTGTCATTTTCAGCTGGCAACGTTAAACAGTCCAGTCATTATGTTTATGGTTTTAAGATATTTATTCTCAAAATTGATTTTTTAATCACAATTAAGTATTTATTTCAAATATGTGTAAATATCGTACATACTTTTTGAGTAAATAAAACATCAAACTGCCTAGGTTATTGTATACTTGGGAGTGGTAGTTGATGAAGGAGCTAGGAATAACCTGTCCTATTGTCTGTTTTAGTAATATACACGCAGAGGACAAAGACGAGACCCGTGAGTATAATACGGTCACCTACTCTGTGGTCAGTGGTAACGGCTATTTTGAGGTCGATCCACTTAATGCTGCACTGCGACTCATTAAACCACTCGACTACGAGGATAAACATCAGATCACCTTCCAGGTATGTATGCTGAAGTTTATACTTAATATCATGATAATAGAACTGTTGACCGAATTCAGTAGAAATGCTAATTACATTAATTTTATCGACTTTATTGTCGTTGTCAAGCAATCAATATGTTATATTTTTGATACCTATTAATCTTTTAAAGTGTTGGTTATGAAAAAGATCCGGCGTCACAACACGTTCTGTTCTAGTTAAATCCTTATTACTAAAAGGAAAAGTTAACAGTTAACCAGTCATTTTCAACTTTCCTGGGTAAACATGTATACCCATGAGCATATACTACACATAATCTTTTACAAACATTGTTCTGATCATATAGATGACGATAAATGAAATGATGAACGAGAATATCTTGTGAATAACACCTTCTTCTTATCATTTTTATTAGTGAAAATTGAAAATGAACAGAACAAGAACAGAACGTGATGTGGATTCACAAAGAGTGTATAAAATGCCCAATGTATTTACTTGCATTTCTACAGCTTTTAGGGGCTTCGTTCCTCCTTCCTATATAACCCCAACCGGGGCTTCGCCCCTGGACCTCATTCCTATAAGTGTGACTCAACGCCAGTTACACGCCACTATCATATACTCATAGGTCCTCCCCTTGCATCAAGACATTGCGCATGCTATTATGTCGAAGTTCGAATGAGTCGAAATTTCGAGTTATAAACACTAAAAATAACCGAAAAATAATTCTGCATTGACCTTATTATCTTCCTTGTATGCATGACTACAGTGTTTGTTATATTTGCAGGTGAACGCAAGTGACGGAGATATGAATCACAGAGTCAAGGTCAACGTCAGTGTTACAGTCCTAGATGTCAACGACAACGCCCCTGTGTTCTCGTCAGGTTTGTCATAGTTGTCATAGTTGATACCACTCACTGCATATTCCAATCCATCACACATTAATTTGGTGTTTGTAAAGTTTCTCAATTTTGAAATTGTATTAAATGGAGGTCTCAGCAACGGTTTTTCATTTCCTGAGATAAGTATTTTGCTTTTATTTTACCATTTTAGTACGTCAAAATTTCGTTCGGTCCTCAGCATCGGTGATGAGTCTGTTAATATTAATATGCATGTCTAATGTATCAACTGCTGTAGTTCAAGTGTTTAACTTAATATATTGGATTCTGAGACAAAATTTATGCTAATTTATATTTCTTCGGTGATTCTATGTAGCGCTATACAACTGTACAGTCGTGGAGAATGCTACTTTGCCGATCAATTGTTCTGAGCTTATTGAAGCAAGTGATAACGACACTGGTAATAACGGACACATACTCTATCAAATACAGAGACACACAGAGGTAAGCATTACGGACAATATTAATGTTGTAGGCAATATGATGCTATCTTGGCTTACGTCTTGTGTTTATAATATATGCTAAGTATATCCAGTTTCACCATCCGCGATACACATTAAGAATGACCATAAACGATCAAAAATAGAGTCCAATTCCCGGAAAAAGAAATATTTACGTGATTGTTCTATAGAACTAGATAAACAAAGGCACAACGAGGTGGTCGGTGATATGAACGTAAAAAAAACCTGGATCTTACAGAACTGTTTATTACTTTTGTGTCGGTCTATCGCTTCTCGGTGAATGAGGTTTTCCAGTGTGTCGAATACCTCCGATCGGGCACGTTGTTCACGTGATGAAACAACGTTGAAAATATCAATTTCTCAATATAATTTGTTATATTATCATATACCCCCTTGAATTATTTAATGTCTCTCGAACCACAATATAAAGACAAGCTACCTATGAGATGATGAGGATTATTTTCTGATGTTTGGGCGCTTAAATTTCAAGAAGTATCGACAAGCAGCTTTGTCTGACCCAATGGATAAGTTACTGTTTCTCACTAGATACCATGTGCATATCCAGGGGATGCCACTGGAAATGAGATATATTCAGGATAAAATGGGAGTGGACTGTCTATCTTTTAATGTACTTGTCCAAAATTAGCGTGAGTATACCACTAAATTTCTGTTACTTTCTTTGTAGGATATTTTCAAAATCAATAACACGACCGGACTTATCCGACCCCCTTCTTCCTTGGATTATGACACAGGGGCACGAACTTACATACTAACGATACTAGCTATGGATAATGGCAATCCTAAAAAGACAGGGTATATATGTTTATCGCTTCGAACTTTGATTTAAATTATATGGTTACGATAAATGCTATATTATTTCTAAACATTTTCTTCAGGTTGGTAAGTATGGATTATAAAAGGTTCCTTTCACGCAACAAATAAGAGTTTATATGTGACGTGACGATGACTAGTACGGTATGTACACTGTCACATTCATCAGACAAATGACCAGTGAATCGTATGCACTCAAAAGTGTAAAATGTGTTTGAGTTGTCCACAAAATCGGTGTCGATTCGACTACGCTGTAGGCGTATGTACAATAGTTGTTGTATATATACCGAAATGACTCGATTCAGCTACGCATTGTTTAATGCTTGGTAATAGATGTGAGAGAATGTATGAGCCCCCTCATCTCGATTAAGAACCTGCCCACTGCGGCGTATCCAGATGACTTCCTTTATTTGCCGCTTGAACAGATTGCTCTGTCTGTCCATCACTTTGGAGCTATCCCGGTCAATCACATGATTTTTTTGTGTGGCATGGTCAGTGATTGCCGATTTATTTATCTAGGACTTCGACTTCCTATCTAATCTGGTGAATTTCTTAGGAATTCTTCTGTATGTTTTACTGTAATATTTCCTTGGTTTTGATTGATATTACAGTAATTTGCACTCATGGAAGCATATGTTTAAAAGTTTATCTCAACAGGTTTCCTTTATTAGATAACATTTATTTGAACAATAGTAATCTATTTTTGATCTACCTTGGCAAAATAGATTATTTATATACATATTTTCAATTGTGTTATATCTACTTATAAAAGCATTGCAATTTCATTAGACATTTCAATAATCGAGATTAACTTCAACCGTTGCAATTTCTTATATTCCATTACATGTTATCGTATATAACGTAGTCATAAACCGACACGGGAATATAAAGCATAGGATCAACCTGAAACATCGTTTAAGATACATTGATCAACAACTGATTTGTGTAATTAATTAAGTATAAGTTGGTCGCATGAAAGATGCAATGTTGCCATGTCCTTAGATTTATTACATTCCTTACAGCTCGGCTGTGGTAGAGGTAACTGTGAAGGACAGGAACGACAATCCACCTGTAATACATGGTCCGAGTCAGTTCACTATTCCAGAGAATTTACCCGTCAACACGTCAATCGGGACTGTATTCGCCACTGACGCGGATATCAACGATGTATTAAGATTTTTATTGACTAGTAATACAGGTAAGAATCATCAGACATTATTTTTCAGCTATGTCTACAGGTAGAAGCTTGGATACTTGGTATACCGAAAATACCTCTTGTGTGTCTCCGATGGGGGAAACAATTCCCATGGATCATGACGTCACAATGGAAAATGACGTCTAAAAGCATTGTTACGTACCGTCATAAATCAAAGATTGATCAATGAAATCACGTCCAGGGTGTTTAACCAAAACTGTTTACCAAATCCTAGCAGGTTTATCCAATTGGTTAATGAGTGAAGAAACCTACAGTGGTTGTGGAAGATACATAGACGTATGCTACTTAATATCACAGAAGCTATTTGTTTTCACTGTGTCTTGTATTATAAGAACTATGTTTGAACATGTACCAGCCGCATCGAGGACCTGTTGATATTTTTTACCATTGATGTAGCTTTTAAATTTATTACCAGATTTTCATATTCAAAAAGACACCGGGATATTATTCCTTACACGGATGTTTGATTACGAAAAGGAAATCGACCGGCATACTCAGGTGAATGTCAGTGTAAGTGATGGCACACATACTGTTGTGTTTCCTATTTCTGTGGACGTTACTAACGTCAATGACGAGATACCTGTCTTCGTTAACTCCTCGTTAACACCAAAGATATCAGAGGACATGGATGACCAGTCATTCTATATCCAGGTAAGATGTGTGTTCAATAGAACATTCGTAACATCATGAATATATAATCTAACCTTGTTTGGCACATAATTACTATTTCTTGATTGAGGAATTTACAGGATTGGAATATAGCGCATTAATATAATATCATAATGACATTAGACGATATTGCTTTTAAGGAGAATGATGGTCACAGAAATTAATGTTAGTTTTTAGGTAAAGAACGTCTTAACGACTTTGTTGGGTTATTTTGTTTTGTACGTAAATCCGTCTAACAATGATTAAGATTGTGTACATCAAAAGTCGATTATGAATACTGTTGCGTCAGAATGACTGCTTACGAAGTTTACGTCTAACTCTATCTAGTAGCATGAAGATGTATAACATATAAATTGTTGTATATTTGAATACATGTGTCCTAACGACAAGTACACTTGCTTATACAACTTAACACGCAGGCAACGGATGGCGATATCGGCTCTTTGTTGTCCTACAATATATCCACTTATCCAAACATCCGGATATCAAGAATGAGGTAATTACATTATAGAAGTAAGAAAGAAATCTCAAGATTGAAATTAACTAAATTGGAATAAGACCTGTGCATTGAGTTCACTCTAAATGTACGGAAGGTTTAAAAATTGACAAAGTTTAGTGTAAAAATAGAATATGCCTTGTCATATATTTATACAAATTCGATTATCCACAATTATCCTATGGTTATAATATATTTTGAATTACCAACATCGACTAACTTTTCATCATATAAAACTCAGCATGAAAAAAGGGTAACCAATGACAAAAGGTTATCGCTGTATATTGCAGCTGGTCAGGTATTTGTATTTTTGTTATTTTATTTATTTTGTTATTAGTGGATTGGTTACAATTGAAGGACCTGTCAATTCACGGGACAACGATACAATCACATTCACCGTCAGTGTGTCTGATGGAAAACATGTAAGCGTTTGATTCCTATTTTTTTGTCAATGTGTGAAATGGAAAAACGTATGAATATTTAAATCACATTTAACATCAGCTTACGCCGAAAATGTTCGTATTTCAGGTTCATTTAAAATGAGTATGTCGAATGTCCAATGCTCTTTTTGGCCAAAGCTATTTATCTGATGTGCTTACGTCTACCATAAAAGAATGTCCCTTCCGTTATCAAGGCCAAATTTCCAACTAAGCAATTTCAGTGCCTACCATGATAAAATACGTGTTCCCTATATCATTGGCGTCCGCCACACTTTCTATGAGACATTATGGTTTTTTGCACCTACGGTACACGAAACTTTTTTTCTATTTGACCACCTCTATAGTTAGCGGGGTTAATGATGCCTTTCGTTTTGATGTCTCATCTGGTCATGTGTTGGTCCCTTTGTAGACTTTTTGCAACTTTTGAGGACGTATTGTTCTGTGTTAAACAAATTGGCAGTTTGTTTTGTTCTTTTTTACCTTTGTAACGGTATACTTTTATTCTCATTTCAACGTGATACAATTATGGTTATACCAGATGGAAACTGCTACTGTGACGGTCCAGGTGATTGATGTTAATGACCACGCTCCTAGGTTTGAAAATTCCACTTATACGTTTGAAGTCAAAGAAGAAGTGGACGATGCTTTCGTTGGCCGTGTAACAGTAAGTTAAAACAACGCTCGACAAATTGCATTTTCACTGTACANATCCCTTCTCAATTGGGATACATGTAACACTGGTTGGTTCTCTATAAAAGCATTGTTATACCGGAACAAGCACAAACATATACATCTTCAGTATGTGGCAATCCGTTTAATAATGACCTTTCAATCGGTTTACTATAAATTATCTGATGTAGCTTAAACTTATAAACTTAAAACAGTTCGAAGAACACAATTCCCCCTTTGTGCTGTTTTTTCTGCATGTTTTGGAACACTTCATATCTGTAATTTCAATCTGCTTACTTTGAGACTGATATGTCCTATGTAAGAGTTTTCTGACTTTGTGTTTCTAGTGAATTGTATACTATATAAGCATTATTTACATGCATATTTATGATATTATTTCACAGGCCATTGACAAAGATCCCCGTGATCTGGATAAGCTGCGGTATTCAATTTTGCCACCATGGTAAATATTACATACCAATAATTTAGTTTTCATGTATTTCGTGATACATCGTTCATTTATTCTGAAGTAAGTGTAATATCACCAACACTTTTATATTAAATCGTATGCTGTATTTACTTTAATTCAGCCGAATACTCTGGTTAGGTTTAGATGAACAACCTCTCTACAAGTCACATTATTGCATTAACAATATTTTGCAAGCTTATATTATTCAAATTGCCAGGGAACGTAACTTCAATATAAGTAAAAGTGGAGAGATCCGAGTCACATCAGCATTGGACAGGGAGAACCTTACCGAAACCTCCGGCAAAATTATATTTCTGATAAAGGCGGAAGATTCGGGAATACCACCTCTAATGTCTATAGCCACACTCACTTTACACGTGCAAGACGTTAACGACCACGCCCCTTATTACACGAATACTGTGAAGAACATAGGCATGGACGAAAGACAGAATGTGTCCTTTCCTGTAGAGGTATGGCTACTGTCAACGTTCTTAATCTAGCATACTCAATTTTAGCGCTTTTTTCAGATTTTAACATCTTAGCGCGTGGATGAATTGATGCACCGACAGTAGATGCAATAGAAAAGTGTATACATGAATCTCTCAAAAAACATCGCGCTAAAATATGAATACTTCTTACATGTGAATGTTAACAGTCCTTAACTGAAATACAGGAACCAATTTATCAAAAAAGGATAATAAATATGATTAAAATACAGCAATTTACGTAGTAAAACACTGAAGTAATCTTTTTACAGTTACAAAACTGCAACATAACGTATCATATATTTCCATGCGTAATGATGTCCTATTTAAGGCGTGTGACGAAGATGACGGGAGATACGGTCACATATATTACAGTATTACAGACACTAACGTTTCATCACTGGAGATAACAACAGATGGAAAATTGATATCCACAGATACACTTACATACGGCCTGTATATGGTGGAGATTATTGCGTATAACGTTGAGCCTTATACGGTACACGGACTAACTAACGGTTCCGTCACGGTGTATATAAATGTTAAGGTACGTTCACCTAGCTTAGCGATATTTATATATCAGCAACATCTTATTAGCTAAACGTATATGAAGTCAAACACCCACAATGCTAGTTTTAGTGTTCATGCTACCATATGATTGTAATAAAATAATTAAAGTCAATGAATTATTCAATTGACATGACGCTTGATATCTAATATTTAAAATAATGTCAAGTTTACTTTATATCAGGACATCAACAACCACGGACCCATGTTTAACAAGACTCTCTACGAATTTTCTCTACCAGAAGACTTTACAGTGGGACATTTAGTGAATGAAAGGTAACATAACAAAAGTTCGCCTTAATCGGAAACATACATTGCATCATTAATCTCTATACATTTCCGTAAGTCGATCAACTGAAGGATATAATTCAAAAATATTTTCTATATTTTGTATTATAATCTAGTTATGATTTCTGATAATATCATTTCTGAAGTAATTAGCCAATCTTACACGCTTTTCTGTGGTTTCTGTACACCTCCTATTTTTAAAGTGAATCATAATTATTTTATTTCAATTTTTAACTAGAAATGTGTGTGATACTGAAATTGCTTGAGATATACTTCCACATTCTCGCCCCTTCTTCCAATGTTCATGGTTCTACTTTCCTTTCAACTCGGTAAACGCCACACCATTCCGAGATAACCAAAAAACTTATAAGCAGCACATTATATTACAAGATTCATTATTACAGTTTAGGGATCGCACAACATTACACGATGTGCGGTGTGCGCACGTTGTGTGCACGGTGTGTGAACAATGTGTGGACGATATGCGAACGATACAAATTTGGACGAGTATTGCTTGCGCACATATGTGCGGACGATGGACAAAAGTTGTGCGATATCTGTCGTGGCTGGTGAAAATTGAGGAATGACTTAATAATATTAACTCAAGTTCCACCAGTGGGATTGAGCTGAAACTTGCCTGAAATGATCCTGAGATGGTCCTGACGAAGTTTTGTTGTTTTCGGGTCGGTTCAAAATCGAACATGGCCACCATGGCTGCCACCTTGAAAATCACATTTTAAACTTCTTCTCCAGTTCCACTGGTGTCATTGAGCTAAAACAATGGTGGGGGTGTTAAGGAAAGGAAAGCGAAAAAGTGTTGTTGTTTTCTAGCTCCGTCAAAACTACAACATGGCAGCCATGGTGGCCATTTTGTAACATGATTGTGCTATCATGGTTTTCCTAAACAACACCTATTTTAAACTTCTACTCAAATTCCACCAGTGGGATTGAGCTGAAACTTGCCTGAAATGACCTGAGATGGTCCTGACCAAGTTTTGTTATTTTTCGAGTCGGTGCAAACTAAGATGGACACCATGACCGCCATCTTGAAAAACACAAATGTTTCTTGAATAAATGAGGCTGGTTTGACCCCTGGGGGATAGAGAGGGCTCGCCCAAAGAAAGGAAATTACCTAAAATTCTGCTTGTAAACACGACTCTTTAATGTCAAAAGTCGATTACAACATTTTCAGTATGAAATATCATTAAGAAAAAATCATTTCATATATAAATGAGGCAGGTTTAACCACCGTTGACAGCGGGATGGGGCCTTAACAGGAGAAATCTATTCAGATTTAGGTTTAAATGCTTTCTGACAGCTTTACTGACAAATAGTTACCCACTGCTGACCAAAACTATCATCATGGAAAACAAATTCTTAGAATATTTCATTGAAAGTTGGAAAGTTACAATTCTCCCTGCTCAGTCTCTGTACAGTCAGATGACCGTTCAGGCCCAAGGGCCTCTTGTTTAAGTATGTTTCTATATTCTAGCTACATCTTTTAGCTTATCTTTCTATCTATAATTTCTTTAATTTAGAAATGACGTTTTCGATGTTTTTTTAAACGACCTAAATTGCCATATGTAAAATTGCAACAAATATGGACATTGTCTTATATACGGTAAACATAGCCACTTCATACAGGTACATGGACGGTGGTTTGCCTCACCCGGGGCACTTACGTAACTCGTCGAGGTGTGAAAACCTAGGTAAATGGGGAGCTAAATACTTAACGTCCAGGTTTGTTTTCCTAACGGTCGTATGTGTCAGGCTCAGACCAGGTAATAGTCCGGTCACTTATCACAATGTTATTTACCTGTTCTGTTACCTTTGAGAAAATCCATTCTTGACAAGTCTAACGGTCACTGTAATACTGTGTAACACGCATTGTAAAACTGTACATAATCTTAACTGTTGTGAGAGAAATTGATATATGCAGTGTACATTATTGTATACGAGCCTTCCGTATTATTTTCATTTCGTAATATTGATCAACAAACTGTACAAAATCGCACAGTTGTGCGGACAACAGGGCGAACGATTGTTAAATCGCACAGTTGTACAGACGATGTGTGGACGATGTGCGGACGGTGTGTGAACGATGTATGCACGATGTGCGCACGCTATGTTTGGTGCGTTATGCGGTCACACAACTGTAGACAAAATGCGGTATATTGTATTAAATAATTCCTAAGTGTGTCTTAAAAGTCAGACGAAGCATACTACATCTCAAAAATATAAGAGAAAGGTCAGGCTAGGTATACATGTACCACATCTCAAATATACCTTTATTATATTCCATGCATTAAAGCATACGACACAAGCCACTGTGGATAAACATAATATTTTTTTGGGGTAAATTGTTCAGGTAAAAATAATGTGCCGTGTCAACCAATTTCTACTTATTCGACGTTCACTTCATACTATTTCATTTTATCACATAATGTACTGTGTTATCCAGTAAATATACCCATGTCATACATATCTTTTTCCGTATTAACCCATGTAATATGACCTATCGGCCCGGTGATTGGTTGTAGGTTTCAATTGTTTCAATCGTCATGTCTTAACGCTTATGACAAGTACATGACGTCACAGACTTATGCATTGGAGTCAAAAGGGCGTTATTTTACATTCATATCAATGTTACATGAACATTGTCGAATAAATGCCTCAAATCTTGATTATGTGATAAAAAGGATCTTACACTCCTTTTCATATGAAATTTATGAAACTCGTCACGAATTTTTCATATTAGCTCGCACGAGGCTCGCTAAATTGAAAAAACAATCTTAGACTCGTTTCATAAATCTCATATAAAATTGAAACTCATGTAAGATCCTATATATACGATGACCTAAGATATCAAGAAATAGTTAAAAGACAACATTCCACATGAATCTTACATTGTTAACGTCGCCACGTCATCGATATATATATTTATCACCATGTAAAGTTTCAAGGAATAGTCTTAATGTTTAATTTGACGGGCACAACAATAACTAACATGCACGTTTAATGTTTTGCTTGTGAAACATGACTATTATTCGGTGAACTCTTTTTGATTCTTTTGTAATTTTGAAATATGACGTTAAAACGTATTATTAGGTCTAAGTTTATTTGTTTTGCTAGCGTTGGTGATATTTTGTTTAGAAGTTATACTATATAATATGTAGTATATATCTAAATTCACTTAACGATTATTTAGAATTCGTCGTACGCGAGAAAAATGTTCCTGTTCTAAAACTCCCCAGGCATTTTAAGGTCGGAATGAAATGTTTTAGAGTTGGGAGATATTTTGACTGCTGTAAATTTGTCTGTTTTAGTAATATACAAGCAGAGGACAAAGACGAAACGCGTGAGTATAACACGGTCACCTACTCTGTGGTCAAAGATGAAGGCTATTTTGAGATCGATCCATTTAATGCTGCACTGCGACTCATTAAACCACTCGATTACGAGGATAAACATCAGATCACCTTCCAGGTAAGTATGCTGAAGTTTATACTTAATATCATGATAATAGAACTGTTGACCGAATTCAGTAGAAATGCTAATTACATTAATTTTATCGACTTTATTGTCGTTGTCAAGCAATCAATATGTTATATTTTCGATACATATTAATCTTTTAAAGTGTTGGTTATGAAAAAGATCCGGCATCACAACACGTTCTGTTCTAGTTAAATCCTTATTACTAAAAAGGAAAGTTAACAGTTAACCAGTCATTTTCAACTTTCCAGGGTAAACATGTATACCCATGAGCATATACTACACATAATATTTTACAAACATTGTTCTGATCATATAGATGACGATAAATGAAATGATGAACGAGAATATCTTGTGAATAACACCTTCTTCTTATCATTTTTATTAGTGAAAATTGAAAATGAACAGAACAAGGACAGAACGTGATGTGGATTCACAAAGAGTTTATAAAATGCCCAATGTATTTACTTGCATTTCTACAGCTTTTGAGGGCTTCGTTCCCCCTTCCTATATCACCCCAACCGAGGCTTCGCCCCTGGACCTCATTCCTATAAGTGTGACTCAACGCCAGTTACACGCCACTATCATATACTCATAGGTCCTCCCCTTGCATAAAGACATTGCGCATGCTATTATGTCGAAGTTCGAATGAGTCGAAATTTCGAGTTATAAACACTAAAAAAACGAAAAATAATTCTGCATTGACCTTATTCTCTTCCTTGTATACATAACTACAGTGATTGTTATATTTGCAGGTGATAGCAAGTGACGGAGATATGAATCACAGAGTCAAGGTCAACGTCAGTGTTACAGTATTAGATGTCAACGACAACGCCCCCGTGTTCTCTTCAGGTTAATATAGTCATAATTGGAAATGTGGGTGTTTTCAGATTACAGAAATATGAAATATGTGTTGAAGATGTTTCTCAGGTCAAGGTTATTGATGATGAAATCAGAAATTATTAACATAAAAAAACATATACAATATTGTATGGACATATTTTGACCCGCCAGCCTCCTTTGGTGATAAATTGCATATGGTAAAAATCCTTTGTGAATACTGCCATAACACATGTACATGCACCAGGATAATTGTTGTTTAGTAAATAGGCGTTATATCTACCAGGATCCAAAAGATAACCCCCAGTCAAATTCACAGTTACTTAAAATGATATATTTGATATACTGTCAAATCTATATTGTATGGTCCTCTTTGATATGCAAATAATCATTTTGATGGTACATCTACTTGGTGTTTGATGGATACCCTGCCTTTATAACGGCATAACGGGGTTCGAAAAGTCAGAAAATCATTGATCTAGGTCATTGTTACTTGAGGTAGAATAGGGATGATATACTGTCAAAACTCCATTTTATGACTCCATATGATGAATTGAGATATATTATCCAGATCGAAAATAAAAAGGCCGCTAAGAACCTGACTGGCTGGCTGGCCTATACCTTTTGTACTGTTGGTGTAGTTTTATTCATACTTGGCGGCAAATGGTATATATTCTATTTAAAACGTGTATAAATAGTTATAAACCATTTTTTTAATTCAAAATATTTCCTGTGGCTTATGTTTGAAGATTATGGTGAATGTATGCGTTCAAACACATACACATTTATATATCCTACGAACACCTGTTTGTTTGGATCAAGTGTCTAAATTAGCCTATCCTGTCATCATAATTATCAGACCTGTTTTCATTGGGCTAAATTCGAGTTACCATTCTAAAATTCCGTTTATATATTAACGCCTTGAAAATCCCACTATTATATTTATATCACAAACCCAAAAGAACATTTGAATTAGAATATTCCAAACAATAAGTATATATATACATGTACCCCGTTATTTTAGGCCCTTTTGACCTGTCATTGTTCTTGTTGATATCAGTAATTAAATTGTTTCATCCACCCATTTATTGACATAAAATAAAGAAATTCAATTTGCGTGTTTTTACAGTTTTTTAATGTGTAATTGACGTAAAATATTTCAACGTACACCATCATTGATTAGATTTTATTAAAACACGTGCAAAATGTTTTATATTTCAATGTTTTACTTCATGCTTTACTTTACTTTGTACATCAGGAGGATTTTTGTGATTATTCTCATTGATTTTCTGTGTATGATTAATTCGCATTTGACTGTTGGTTTTATACAGAGCTATACAACTGTACAGTCGACGAGAATGTTACCTCGTCGATCAACTGTCCTGTACTCGTTAATGCAAGCGATGTCGACGCGGGAGATAACGGACGCATACTCTATACAATAGAGGGATACACAAAGGTAGGATAACGGATTAAAAGGGTAAAATCTATATGAAGTATTGAGTGTTTATATATAAGCTAAACTTATACAAAACAATGTCCAAACGTACCACAAGTATCGTGTCAGGGCGCATCCCTAAATATCTGTATTGATACTTAAACCTGTTTCAGATATTCTTATATTCTTGTGTTCAGTTATGTAGACGATGCTCTGTTTTGTACTTGCAGGATACTTTCACGATCAATAAAACTACGGGAGATATACACCCCAGCCTGCCATTGGACTATGACTCCGGTGTAAGAACTTACATACTGACGATCCTTGCCACCGACAATGGCAGTCCTAAAATGACGGGGTATATATACTTATTGTTTAGAATATTCTAATTCAAATGTTCTTTTGGGTTTGAGATATAAATATAATAGTGGGATTTTAAAGGAGTTAATATATACGGAATTTTAGAATGGTAACTCGAATTTAGCCCAATGACAATAGGTCTGTTAATAAAGATGACAGTACAGGCTCATTTAGACACTTGATCCAAACAAACAGGTGTTCGTCGGATATCTAAATTTGTATAAAAGCACAAAAGCAATTTCGACACAAAGGCCGAGGAAACTGGTCAGATGTGATCCGCCTTTTGTCAATACACAAATATAAACAATTCAATTATAATAAGTATCAGACAGAGACAATACTTACTTTACATTTATACTGTTTATCGTATCCTGTTAGCTTATCTTATATGACGGCTGGAACCCGAATGTCATTTGTTAAGAAAACTCCATTTTTACACGATGTACCAAAGTTGATAAATGATTTCTATGAATAAAGTTTTGATAAATTAGATATAATGCGTAAAATCTTAAATATATTTTAATAGGTGCAAACAAAATGTGTTACGCTGACAGCAATGGACGCGGTTATAAATTACATTAAAACATCAGATATTAAAAAAACAAAGCAATACAGAAGATATTCACATCGGGCGATATGACGACAATGCAATGATACCATGCCAACAGCCTAGTATTATATTATATATAAAGTACATCTGGAACATGTGTCGGACAATGGCTGTTACAGACAATGCCTGTGACTATTTCAATTATATCTGAACTATAGAGACAACATGGTTCATCCTACTTACAATATGTATAGACATTGATACTTATTACTGATGATTGCACGGTTCATGAGATGTTGTGTCCTTATAACTCCTTTTCCATCCTTAAAGCTCATCTATGGTAAAGTTGACTGTGAAGGACAAGAACGACAACTCCCCTGTAATTCATGGGCCGAGTCAGGTCAACATTCCGGAAAATTTACCCCTCAAAACATCAGTTGCTACCATGTTCGCCACGGATGCGGATATGAAAGACGTGCTGTCATTTGCTCTGTCTGAAACAGGTAAGACGTGATTCCATAATACTTTGAGATTGTTAAAAAGTAGTACGTTTTAGCAATCAAGTAATTTCTCATGAACAAAAAATAACAATTCAATAACTATATATACAACTATAAATTTCCTATAAAGTTGTTTTGATACACAGAAACAGAAACTGTAGTACATTGTATTAACATATTGACACATGACAATATATGCACGCAACTCCTGCACATATATTACACAAAAACACACTTAATCCAAACATGTTTTCACTCTCCATGTAGTACAGCTAACAAGTATAAATGCACGTATGTATTTAATCACCCCATAACTACTAGGTATGACATCCAGCTGCCGGATTGAGTATTTGATAATTATACAGGGTGATTTTGCAATATTTTGTGACTTCACACTTGAATTATGAAATCACGTCCTTTGTCTAAAGATTTTCAGAAAAGTTAATCAGTTATGCTTTGGTTGAAATTAACTATTTTCGTTTGTTAATATATATATCATTATGTTATGATTATGAGTTATTTGTAAACTAGATATTTAGCACTTGATGATTAATTATGTTATATACTCATCCTCGTGTGATCATTTAAATCTACTCGCTAACATAGATATATTAATTCATTGGACGATTGGTCAGCATATTTATTTCCTGGAAGTTACCATATATGTAATTAATTTTCAAAAGTCACAAATGACACATCTTTAATCGCATGTCTTCATATTTCTGCCATTCTACGAAATCAATTTATGTATATGCATTGAAACTTACTTTCAATATGATTTAATGATTACTATGTCTGCTGTCAGTATTGTATATCTAACGTAACGAAACGGACATTGTATAAGTACTAAGTACTTGTGTCCGAATCGTTGTTAATTATCGAAAATATAATATATTGTATATTACCAGAAATAATTACAGTTTAAACTAACTATGTTTTATAACATTGAAATATAAACTTATGAGAGTGAAAGAAATGTGATTCACCGTAATGAATCACGGGACATTTTGTGTACATTACTTGGCAGTGAGATGTAGAATGATCTTGACCTGAAAAGTGATATTTTACACAATCGACAAATCAGATTTTTTTTTCCATTTACAACATTCCAAGCCACCACCCCTCCGTTAAGATACATATGAAGCGACGGTAGAATAACTAGCTTTTTAGTGTATCATCGGTAAAAACATCAAGGTACTTAATTGATTACATTTTTGTAAGCGAATCTGAATGATTAATAACGTACAATCTAACATGGTAGAGAAAAACGCATGGCAGAATCTATCTACATTCGTGCTTCGTACTCGTGAATAGATTTGGAAATATACCATCGTCGTAAAATATATTCAACGTAATTCAATTTCCATCGAACTTTTTTTTCTCAAAGACAAATATTTATGTTCTTTTTACCGTTATTTCCTATCCTTGAACTTATGTTTTTGACGCAAGCCTTGATACATTTCCATCAGTGTGTCGAATATATTAAAATAAAGAACACCAAAATGTAATCCATTTCAAATGTTATATATTTGGTGTGTAGATAATATGGTATATTTTGTCTTTAAGCGATGATGATGTCAATTATCTGTCTCATTATGTTGAAAATATGTGAAGGGACCTGATATATTTTGTTTTTATGTGTTAATAATGTCGCATATTCTCTTGATATGTTAATTTAACGTTATGATATAGTTTGCCATTTTATATTGATGATGTGTTACATATTGTCTTGTGCGTTGATGAGATTTCGGAACAAGTTTTAGATCATTCATTATAACATATATTGTGAACGTTTAATTAATAAATATGATTTTTTTATTTTAATTACATGCATAAAATTTAGACAGTTATAACAAAAATATAATGGATAAGAAATGTTAAAACATTAACGCCAAAAGCGATCATTGTTTTAGTACATTACTAATTAGATATTTGAATGTCATTCATATTGGAATATTTCCGTTTGATTTATATATTTCAAGTTCACTATAAGTAATCATTATCCATATTGTGTAACACAACATTTTTACTGAATACGTTCACATACGTTCGTTAGCGAAATATACAGTATGGTTTGTGAAGGAAACTTTAAACCCAGGAAATCGGAAAGCGTATATAAAATGTATTCTTTAACTTTATTAACTTTGAATGTTATATGCAGAGTAAAGTAACCATTCTGTTTGTCTACATGTTCATAAAGAACAACCATTTAAATGTGTATATCTAACGGTTTGATGACTTGTACGATATAAAATGCCATATACTGTTAACAAGTATATTTAAGTAGACAAAATATACAAGAAATCTACATACTGAATGACGATCAAATCAGCAAGTCGATTCGGCTTCTCTATTCTAATACCCATTAATAGCTGACTAGTGTCTATGAGCCTCATCATCTCAATTCAGAACTGACCCACTGCGGCCTCTCCAGATTTTGTTTTTGTTGCCTTAACTGCCGCCTGTATGATCATGTAGCCTTCTCTATCCAACACTTCGGAGTGTTCTTATTCATTAACATGATTTTGTTGTGTGGCGTGATCTGTAATTTCCTGTTTTGCTAACTTAACGTCCTTATATCTCCCTTTAGGGTTCATAGACTCTCGCGCCATTGAACAAACCCGCATTGATTTGTCGACATGATCGCCATTTTGTACATTTTCAAAAATACGCTTATAGCGTTGCCAAATCAAAATCAACCATTTGATGGCTGAATTGCTAGTGCTCGAACAGAATACGTTTGTATGCACGTTACAGTGAACAATGCAAAAAAGTGACTATTCTGAAGGTCTTCTGATAATATATGATTAAACACTATTACAATGTGACGTCGTTGTAGAAGATATGATATGTAGAAATAATGTATTGTAAGTGATACATATTTGACATTCGAGGATATTTAATCGACGACCACAACAATTGATAACATTTCATCAAGCATGCGTGTTTTTTCGTGAGAAAACAGATCCACTGAAGGAAGTCTGGTGAGTAAAAACTAGACAGGAGTGTGTTCTTAGTATATGTTATCTTATCGATGCCTCAGCACTTTATCTTACTCACCTTTCCTGTATTTCCCATATTTATAACGCTACCTATTATATATATTTATATCAGTATTTGTATTCTAGGTCACTTGTACGAATGAATTGAATATAGTCTTTGCAATGAAAGGTTTGGTATTATTTTATCTGTATAAGAATAGCAAATGTAAATAATTTATTTTAGTGTTAACAGTCAGAGATCAGCTGTCACCAGTTGAGCTTAAACCATTATGCTACTGAATATAGTCTTTGTAATGATAGGTTTGGTATTATTTTATCTGTTTAAGAATAGCAAATGTAGATAATTTATTTTAGTGTTAACAGTCAGAGATCAGCTGTCACCAGTTGAGCTTAAACCATTATGTTACGTTCGTTGTCAACAGTTCAGCCGGAACTTTTTTCTTGAGAAAACTTTTTCTGATTTACAGTAGGCCTAAAGTCGTGATATTTGGTCGGTATAATGCTTGGTTCAGAATTATAAACTCTATCAAACATTACCCTTACTGGCTTCTGTTAAACAGGGCCAAACATTTATAAACTATTTCATCTGCATAACTTATAATTAAAGAGTAATGATATTCGGCAACGAGCATGATAAGATGGAGGTTTAGGATGTGTTTTTTTCAAGAAGCAACATTCAACTCCATTTCCAAAGTAAAAGAAGTAAAATGCGTATAAAATTTGTAAACACCTCTTCTGAATATCTACGAGTGTAGATTACGATATTTTGCCTGTGGGCACAAACATTATAGGGCTGTATGTTCAAATGAATCACCTTGACCAATTTCGAAATTCAGGGAGGGCAAGTGTGTTAAAACATTTTCTCTTGATAAGAGCAATACTTAAGGTAACGATATGTTGCATGTAGTTTGTTGGGAAAAAAGAAAATTCAATTTGTTCAAACTAATGGCATTGACCAATTTCCAAAGTCATAAGCGGTGTTTTTTTTCGAATATCGAGAGGCTTAGGGTCATAATATGTAATATAGCACGTTTGGATGATGCTTTTAATTTTTTTCAAATTAACAATTTCAAATTTCAAGATCACAAGATTCTGATTTTTTAAAAAACAAGAACATATCTTTTGCATAACTAAGAACCATCAGATAATGATAAACGATTAGGAGCATGGTGAGGTAAATATTAATGAAGTCTGTTCAATAAATGCCATTAACCTATTTTAAGGCCTAAAGGAGAACACTATGTTGAAAAGATCTCTTCTGAATATCGAAGAGTATTAACGTAGAGTCTGTATTTGGCCTCTGGAATCATAGGGTTTATAACAGTTATTTAGATCAAAATGCCCTGTGGTTATGCTAGTGTTACACTGTGAAAATACTTTGTGGAGATTGCATTAAGTTATAACTTGTCAGCAATGTTTTGTACCTCTGTTTTATACCGAATATTGTAAATGTGTACAGTACAAGGACAATTATGTTTATTACAAATACGGGTCATTATCATATGGATATAAATTACGTTTATTTCAATTTATTTCGTTGATGTCGCGTTACATTTAATTGCTGTTTTTTCAAGGACTGCCTGCTCAAATTGTTTCTGCACCAGTGGGAACAACAACTTCAAGCACGCAGGTAAAGATTCAATCTTGTAATTTCCTTTTAGCATAATGTATAGATTATAAATTTGTATAGGTCAATTCACTAGTTTGTGTCTTACGTTAATCTTTAAAGATACATGGTTGAAGACAGTACCGGTGGCTTAAATAGTCCCATAGGCTTGTCTTAAATTTAACTGCCACAATCATATTTTCTTAGTATTGGCTTGGTTGATAATGCGCATACTTTACCAATTATTAATATGAAGTTTTAACTAATACACCTCTTATGTTCGAAATTCATATAAGCAAGTAGTTTAATACACCTCCTCCTTCTGTTATTACAGTAATTTAGATCAATTTAGACTTTCACCATTTACATATGTATCCCCTAGTATCGCCGATGAG